GTTGTATGTTGTTGTTGTTATTTAGAGGTTAAAAATATGGTAACTTTTAAAATATTTAGTCATTGTACAAGGAATAAATTAAAATGACCAACTACGTACGTACCATGTAATGTAGTGGCATTCCAGTTCCAATCCTGGTGATGGGAGCTTATATTTTTAGGCTAAAAATATTTAAGAAAGTATATAACAAATAGTACCTTGAGCATTCAAAAAAAAAAAAAAAAAAAAAAAAAAAAAAAAAAAAAAAAAAAAAAAGTACTACCTTGTAAAAAATTATGAGTATTTAAAAAATATTAAAACGTATTAATTATCAATACACATAATTATACTAATATATTTTATATTTCCATTAGAGTCTTAACAACATTTTCTATTATATAATTTAGTAGATATATCATATATCATCAATTAAAAAAGTCACTTTCTCAAGCATGAAAACTCTCGCTTGAGGGAGTTGAGGCAAATTAATTACTGTCAAATTATATTATTTGATATTCTCTCTTATTCTATTAGGATTTCTCTAATTTTCTCTCATCTCTTTGATATTCTATCGGACCGTCGCCTTCGTGAAGCAAGCGGATCGGAGGCGGCGTCCGATCGTCTTCCCATGCTGCCATCTCCACCGCAGATAGCGTCCGCCTTCACCATTTTCTCCTCCATCTCCACCGCTACCGATCGTTACTCCCTTATTTTCGCATTATTGTTTCCCTTTGCTTTGTTTCACTGGTTTAATTTTGTTTGCAGTTTCTGTGTTTTTCCTCTCGTTGTTTTGACCAGTTTCTTCCCCTCCTTTACTTGGCAAGTTCTTATTTCATAAAACTGGTCATGGCGTATGTGAATCCCATCCTGGGTGATAAACATGACAATGAAAAAGAGACTCCTCTGAACTATGATATGCAGTTCAGTCCGATGGAGATATTTTCAATGGATAGAAGAATGGAAATAGATACTCAGGTGGTTTGCAAGACTATTCAACCAGTGTTACGTTAGTCTTGGGTACATTTGACCAAATCATTAAAGAAGCTTTAAGTTCATCCAAAGAATTCAGCTTTAAATTTGTGAAACAGTCTGCGAATCAAGTTTTCCGTAGCATTGCTAGAAAAGTTATTTCTATGTTTGACTTTAAGGAATGTTTCACCATTCCATGATTCTTTATTGTAAACGTTTTAGCCTATAATTAATGAATTAGCTTCTTTATTTAAAAATAAATAAATTACCGTCAAAAAAATTACTCCGTAATAAACTACGAATTTGAAAACCCATCATATCAAGTAAAAAGTGTCACTTCAAATTGAATTTATGCTCCATAAAAAATCGTATTATAATTTCCTCTTAAAATGGATGCATCAAAATAATATTCCATCCGTCCTATTTTATTTATTTGGTTTGATTAACGAGATTTAAATGAAATTAGTTTTAATTCAATTTTTAATAATGATAAGTATAGTATTAGTATATAAAATGTATATATTTAAAAACTTTATTAAAAGTATTATTAACACACAAAAAATAAATTTAAAAATTTTACTAAAGATAATAAGCAAAAAAAAAAAAAAAAAAAAAAAAAAAAAAAAAAAAAAAGAAGAAGATGATTTGACTAATGAATAGTAAACATAATAGATAAAATGAGACAGAAAATGTAACAATTTAAAAAGAGTTGATGTAGACTATGATGAACCTAATTTATAACAACAATACCAACAATGATTTTTCTAAATTGTTAATAGCAGAAGTTGTTGGCCCCGAATGGGTGGCGAGAAGTCTAGAGGGGGGGGGGGGATGAATAGACTTCTCTAACTTTTCAAACTTTCCTTAAGCACACAACACTTTGGTAATTTCAATTCTAAATAAAAAGCATAAACAAGTTAAACAACTTAGAGTGTGCATATCGGAATATGGAACAGTAAAGTGTTATGCTTGATTGTGTGGTGCTCAAAGAGAGATTCTAAACATACAACACGTTAGAAACACTTGATTTAGATTAAGGATGATGTATGTAAAATTTCACTTGCATGCAAACGTGTGAACTATTAAACCCAGACTGATAAGGATATGCGATAAATCGTAACGGGTTAGTTCACAGTTGATAATAGCATGCACAAAATATAATGAGCAGTAAGTAAAGAGAGAGAGAGATTTATAGTGGTTCGGAGATCGTGTAATTCTCCTACTCCACTCTTCTCCTTTCACTCCAAGGAGGAAATTCACTATTCTTCGATCACCCACATACAATAGTTAATAAGTGTTTACCGACACTTCTCCGAGTGCTCCGCACAAAGCTACACTCCAACAAGGTTTTTCACAAGCTCCTATTGTTACTCCGCCTTCACGAGTACTTCGCACCAAGCTGTACTCCTACACCACAAGAACTACGCACAAAGCTACGCTCTCACAGGGTTTTCACAAGCTCCTCTTGTTACTCTTCCCTTTCCAACCGAGTGCTACGCACAAAGCTACACTCAAACCGGGTTTTTCACTCTGTCTAGTTACTCTACCCCCTTTCTACACTCAGTAGAAGTGTTTACAATGAAATACAATGATTTCTCTCTCAGACTTGAATTTTTCTAATGAAGATCTATTTCCCCTTTACTGGCTAAAAATATTGCTTGCTTTTCTCTTTGTAAATATCTTGTTGTTAGCTGTGGTTCTCCGTTCTTGTCTTCAAGTCTGCTTGGACAATTTATAGCCAATGAAAGCTATTTGTCCGTTGATCAACTTTCGATCACGATCGTCCATTTGGAATTGTAGTTGATCAAATAATTGTGTCAATTGATCTGCAAAGTCATTTCGCCGTCTGTCAGAAGATTTGAATAATCTTGTCGTTGCTTTTCATTAATCTGACAAAAGCTGTGCAGCCTCCAAATTTGAATTAATTTCAGGCTTGACTTTTGTTGAATTATGTATTTGATATGTCAAGTTGATCAAATAATTTATCTGCTGATTCTTGCTTGAGTAATAAAGAGGCTTCTTCGACTTCCTTCACAAAAATGCGGGTTCCCAAAAAACTTGTCTAAGAATGCTGTCATATCCCGTCTAACTTGTATCATGTCTAAACACTTCTTGTCTAACATCAAAATTATTTCAAGTGAGGGTCAAACCATGTATCATTCAATTACTTTGCAAGTCTCCTTCTAACTCTACTAGTTAACCTTTTGATATACCTTTGACTTTAATTCCTTTTGTTTCTTCTCTTTGGCTTCACATGGGTTCCATAACACTTCATGTATAATGGTGACATCATCACCCGTCTAAAGTGACGTCATCATCCATCAAAAAAATATCATGTCTAAAAACTTTGCTTGATAACACTTCATGTCCTGGCTTGGCTTGATATCATTTCCCGTCTAAAACTTCATGATAGCACTTCCCGTCTAACACTTCATGATAGCACTTCACGTATAACACCATAGCTTGATATCACTTCCTGTATAACCATAGCTTATCTTAGCTTTTAGACAAAAATGCTTTCAATAGGAATCGAGCCATAGATCATCAAGTATGCTTCAACAAGTCTCTTTCCATCTCGTCCATCAATAAGGTGTTCACATAGACTTCATGGCAAGGGTGCACCATACTTTGTGAACCAGAACTGACTCAAATAAAATAAAATTGGGGACTACAAAAATACATTTTGGCTCATCAAAACTTTACAATATATTCCTAACATAAGTTATAGTCATATATGGTATACCTTAATGTTATATTGAGTACTGTTGATATTTTGTTAACAGTGTTTCATTAAACAAAAAATAACATAACGTCTTGAGAGTGATGGTTGAGTGCGTGGGTAGAGTTTAACTCTCATGGTCCAATGCACACTCTCAAGTTGTGGCGGCAACTTTCCCTAGTCACCAAATAACAACAATAATAATACTTCTTTTGTTTCATTTTACATATCATATTTAATATTCAGTGGTCAAATAAATTCTCTATTTTTTTTTAATATTCTTACAATTCTTAAATTTGATTTTGTGTTTAGTAGTATTTTTAAATTAGTTTTAAATATATAAATTTTATATATACAAATAACAAACTTAATTATGAAAAAATGAATTGTAAATAACACCAGTCAAATCTCGTTAATTGAAATAAACATATAAAATGAAATGGGGTAATAATAACAACAACAATAATATGTTGGAAAAATTACAATATTCGTCATTTATTAATTATATATCATCACATCATACCTGTAAGTTAATTTTTTCCTTTGAATTATTTACAAAATGATTTTTAAAACTAGATTCTCACAAAACTTAATGTCGGATTGTGACGGACGAGCGCTACATGTATGGTGTGAGGAAGAAGAAAGCAGTTTATTCAATATATTGTTTTGTGTTGTTACAATACGGAAAGAAGAACAAGAAACTTCTTTTATATATATATATAGAAACAGGATGGCGGTTGTAACCGATTCAACTCATTCAAGAACTATAGAAAGTCATTAATGCCCCTCACTTAGTTAATGTATCAGTATGCAGCTCGTCAACCTTTCCTTGCTTTGTATTTTCATGCTCTAACACCCCCCTAAGCTGGAGCGTGTAGATCCTGCACGTCCAGCTTAGATACAAAATGACAATTGGAGTGAATTCCATTTTTGGTCCTACTGTTATAGAGGTGTTTCCAATTTTAGTCCACCTTAATTTTTTTGTCACTTTATGACCACTATTATTGATTGTGTTCCACTTTTAGTCCACCGTTAGTACTTCCATCAAGAGGCCGTGTAATCTAGGGGTATTTTGATCTTTCTTCTCATCCAAGACTATGTTTGACTAAAAGAAATGAGAACATTGAACCAAGTGTGGTTGTAAAGTGGCAAAAAAAATTAAGGTGGACTAAAATTGGAAACGCCCATATAACAGTAGGACCAAAAATAGAATTCACTCGGACTGTTGATACCAACTTCAATAGATTTTGCATCATCAAATTTGTTTTTCCTTTTCTTATTACACTTTGCACTCTTTGCAGACTCAGCATCATATTCAGGTTCTAACTTGTGATCACCTTTTTCGCTTACAAGTTGATCCTTGCAAATGAAGGTAAAATGTAGCAGAAAAGCCAAGCAAAACTGTCTCTAATATATCTAAATCAGAGATCTGCTGAAGAGACTCAAATGGATCATTGCTTGCACTACTTTCATCCAAGACCATTGAACCAAGCATGTGCTCTTCATTATGTAAGGAACTATATGTTGCAGCACTATATAAACTTGGTTCCTTATCCACCAAATTTAACCCTTGCAAAACTGCATCACCTTCAAATTCTGCACCACTAATAGATAACCGGTTACCATTTTCATCAAATATCTATATCCCAGAAAACTCAGGAGAGCTCAATCTTTTACTTTTCAGATACTCTTCATTTTTCATGTCTACCATACTACCTTCTGCAGAGACAAATTCAGCCTCTTTAACCACCTTTTCAGTAAGAATCTCATTGTTTTCTTGTTTCAGTGGCAAATTCTCATGCTGACTTGATAGAAAGACAAAGTGACCAGACATAAACAATGCACTGGAAGTTTCAGCTTCATACTCCCCACTATCTTTATGCTCATCATTTGCATCCTCTTGTTTTGAACCAAGAGCAGCAGCATATGCAGATGCAATTAGTGATACAACCTCCCACTCATTTCCATGGGCAGTAGTCTCTTCAGTGTCCTTATTACTCCCCATTAATAGGAAAGCAGAAGTGAAAAACAGAGAGATCGGAGCGCTAGTGAGGAGTCGAGAATGATTAGAAACTGTCTCTGAATTCATGTATCTCTTTTCATAAGGGGCTATATGGCTGTTAACTAGAATGAAATAGATTCTCCAAAACTTTCTTTCTCTCATCACACGGGTATAACTCATACCTTAGTTTAGAGATTTCCTTCACCGATGTGAGAACAAGTTTTGCATGTCTCTCCTGGAACTCTGTAAGATCCTGGCGAACATTAGAGACTGTGGGAATGGAAGTCTCGGCCACGATCTCATTAGACCGCTTGGACGCTAAAATTTCCGCACAGTTTGAACCTAGACTAATGAGCATCGTCTTCCATGGGTATAGAGAAAGATTCTTTCTCACACGGTACGTTTAAATTACATACCACGACAAATTTCATTTAAATTTGTTAATCCTAAACCCTAATTCTGTGTTTACAGATCTATCTACATCTGACCAGCAACAAACGAATATAGGCGTAGAAAAGCACAAGAAGCACGGTAGATGTACATGCAGACAAATTTCGCAGTTCATAAGCTTGGATTTAGAGGCGCTAAGACGAAATTGATAAAGATAAGTAGTCCCTAAGCTGAAAACTATAGATCTGTATCTAAAATGTGTTTTTTTTTTTTTAGTTTCAGATTTATTAAGAAAACAAATTTGTGTTGTACGCATTTGCCAGGATGGTTTTTTTTTTTTTTTTTTGATTAAGCAAATAAAAGAATTTGAATTCAAAAATATTTGAACTATAAATTTATTTTTTATCAAATAGAGAATATAAAGTTCAAATTTTCATAATTATGCACATACATTTTAAAAATAGTCACTGTAATTATACACTATATTGATATTGTATAGTTTCTGGAAGAAGATAAAACACAAAACTGACCAGAAAATACTGAAAAAAAATTAACAACTACTGACTTAAAAAGAATAGTGCAGAGCATACATATTGAGTGAGCTGAAAGTGTACCTTTATTTAGATGATCATGCATATGTTTTCTCTTGTAACCAACAGTAGTTTAATTGACTAACTTTCTCATCTTTTGATTTTCTCTAAACTGCTGGTAGCTATCCAGATTTGAAGGATGGAAGTGATCTGAAGCAAGTTTGTTTGTTTTTTTTTTTTTTTTTTTAAAGGTGTGAAAGACACCATTTTATACTCCTTATTGCAATGTAGTGCAATTAAAAATTTCTTAAAAGAGTGTTTTTGAAAATTTCTTCATTCCATGTTGTTGTTGCAATGTAGTGCTTTTGAAAATTAAAAAGCTCTTTGATCCAAAGATGACAAAGCAAATGCTGCTAAAAGAATATATATATATATATATATATATATATATATATATATATATATATAATTGATATAGGATTCATAGTCTCCACTCTCCAGTTTTGTTCTCAAAGAGCTTTACCTTTGTCATTCTCAGCTAGTCTCCTCTTTGTTCCTATATGTATTCTCCCTGTGAGTTTCTTCATTCTCTATCTCTTTAACAACTTCATGAGATAGAGCAGCTACAATGCAAATGTGGGGTTTCACCATGTATGCAATTAATATGCACTATTTATAGGTAGTTTCCCACCAAAATTTAATTTTAAAAAAATGATGTACTTCTTGAACACCATGCTTGCTTCTGCCGTAAGTAATAAAGTACTATTTGGAAAGTGGACAATAGCTGTGTAAGTCATGGAGTAATTAAATACTCCGTATCTTTGAAGCCAGATTTATTTGGGTTGAAAAATGGAGCAGCAATATATTATATATTAACAGATGTAAAGTGGACGACAGATGTAACAATTGTATTTCAATGGAAAGTGGACAACAGCTGTAGAGCAATTTGATCGGTGTCCAAAAACAAAACAACATTTCCAACGCAAAACGCCTCGTTTCCCATGGGCGGGAAAACAAAATTTTTTTATTTACTAAAAATGTTTGGCTTTATTATAATAGAAGATTATATTAAATATAAAATTTTACCAATAAATTTAAACACAATAAACTTTTCCCCTACTTCATTTGCTTTAATATATATAGAGATAGAGATAGAGATATAATAAAATATAATTTATAAAATATAAATACACATAATAACTTCAAAAAAAAAATATGTATAAATACATCTACCCACACAATCATTGCATTCATACTTGTTAACTTGTTTCTATAAAAATGCATTCACACACTTTGGGGTGAAAATTTTGTGGCCATCATTTTGCTTATATATATATATATATATATATATATATATATATATATATATATATATATATATATATATAGAGAGAGAGAGAGAGAGAGGGAAGATATAAAAATAGAGATAGAGATATATATAGAGATTATATTAATGCCCTTAAAGGGATTTTTACATAATAAATGCTAATTTTATCAAATATCTATTTACAAACTTCTAATACAATCATCTGGTCAAAATAGCTAACAATACGCTACTTGATATTCGCAATCTGTCAATCGTTATAAGTTGATTTCCAAACAAGGCCTAAATGTTCAAGACACCATGTTATAGTCAAAATTTTCATTTGTTTAATTAACCGTTAACACTGTTTACAACTATCGTGACTTGCTTATATACATTTGTTTGTATTTCAAAAACTATAGTAAGTAAAGAATGTAAACTTTTATTTTTTATGTATGCATATCAATCAACATCATATTTCGAACATGATACTACAATTGGCTCTGTAGTTAGCTTCCACCCAATATTACACTAAGAAACTTTTTGTTTGATTTGATAATTGATTTGTGAATATGACAAATTTACTAATATCACAAATATTTCATAACATTTTTTAGTCAAATTTTATATTACTTACAAATTTTATCCATTTGATTATGTTCGATCTAGTCTAGCTGTGTATCTGGTTGTGAAAAGGTGAGCATGCTTATAGAAAGGAAAGAGGAGGAGAGCTGCATTATTGTTGCTGTGTTTACTTACATTGAAGGAAAAGAAGAAAACAAAGTTTTTATACAACCGACACCAACTATGAACAGTTATAACTGTCAGGCTAAGGTAAAAGACAAAAGTGCCCCTCTTCAGTTGACTGTTTATGAACTTGTTGTTGACTGCTTAATAGCTCCTTCATCACCCCCCCCCCCCCACCCGTAAGCTGGAGCATAAACATCTTGAAGGCCCAGCTTAGCATGGAAGATATCAAATAGAGGCTTGGACAAGGCCTTAGTAAATCCATCAGCAAGCTGTTTGTTGGAGGGAATGGCTAGCAACTTAATCACCTTGTCATGTACTTTTTGTCTAACCACATGGCAATCAATGTTTATGTGTTTAGTACGTTCATGAAAAACATAGTTTTCCCCTATAGCTACAGCAGATTTGTTATCACAGAACAAGGCAATAGGGCTATCAAAGTTAACCTTCAAATCTGCTAATAAGAACAAAAACCACTGGATTTCACAGGTTGTAGAGGCCAAGGCCCTATACTCAGTTTCTGAGGATGACCTTGATACTGTGGCTTGCTTCTTGGTCTTTCAGGAAATCAAGGATTATCCAAGGTAAACACAATAACTACTAATAGACTTTCTGGTTTCTGTACAAGATGCCCAATCTGAATCAGAAAAACCTTGGAGTTTAGTATGGGAGTTTGACGGATAAAATAACCATTTTCCAGGTGATCCTTTAAGGTACCTTAGGACCTTATGAGCTGCAATCAAGTGAGTGTTTCTTGGCTTATCAACATGCTGACTTAATTGCTGAACAGCAAATGAAATATTTGGTCTTGTGTTTGTCAAGTATAGAAGTTTGCCCACTAACCTTCTGAAATTTTCAGGTTTATCCAGCAACTCTTCTTCTGAAGTTAATCTCTGGCCTGTATTAAAAGGTTTCTTTGCAAGCTTTGCATATAAAAAGTCATACTCTTTCAAAATCTCCAATGTGTATTTTCTTTAACAAAGGTTGAGACCTCTTGAGGTTCTGAGAACTTCAATTCCCAGAAAAAAGTGAAGATGACCAAGATCCTTTATTTTGAAGGATATATCTAGAAGCTGCTTCAAATTGTCAATTTGCATAGAGTCTGTTCCTGCTATTAGAATATCATCAACATAGATTAATATAGCAGTGAAAGAAGAACATGAGGTCTTGGTAAATGAAGAGGGATCTGCTACTGACTGTTTGAAATCATTATCTTGTTGGAATTTTGTGAGCTTGGCATTCCACTGCCTACTGGTTTGTTTAATGCCATATAGTGACCTTAGTAACCTGCAAACCTGTCTAGGCTTATCACTCTGGAAACCTGGTGATAGAACCATATAGACCTCTTCATCAAGATCACCATGTAGAAAGGCATTGTTAATGTCCAACTGCTGAAGAATATTCCACCCTTTTGCAATAGCTACAGCCAAAAAAGTCCTGATTATGGTCATTCTAGCCACATGAGAGAAAGTCTCAACATAATCCACACCTGACTGTTGTGTGTATCCTTTAGAAACCAACCTAGCTTTATATCTTTCTATGGATCCATATGCCTTATGTTTGACCTTATAAACCCATCTACTCCAATTGGTGATTTCCCTGTTGGTAGGTCTGTTGGGATCCCAGTATTGTTTTCAACTAATGCTTCTATCTCAGCTTGCATAGCTTTTCTCCATTCCTCATATCTTACTGCCTCATTGTAAGATTGAGACTCATGTGTGGAAGTAATAGAAAAAAACACAGGCTTTGTAGCTAGGACTTAGACCATCATATGAAATAAATTTGTCTATTGAGTGGGGAGATGTTCTTACCCCTGAATTGGCTTTTGCTATTGACTGACAATGGTAGTCCTGCAGCTTAGAGGGAATATTCCTTGTTCTTGAGGATCTTCTTGGCTGAGGAGCATTAACATGTTCAGCTGTAGGATCAGAAACATTTTCTGTTGTTGGATTACCTTCCATAACAACACTGTTATCTATCTCATTTGCCAATTCATCATTCTCTTCCATGGCATCATTGTTCTCATCATACTCAGTATTGAGCTCAACATTCACTTCTTCAGCACTGTGTGAAATGCCCCTGGGGTTGTCATGATCATCTGTGGGAACAGAAATGTGAACATCTGTTTCATCAGAGGTGGAAAACAAGGGCAATGTGGGATTGAATTTTTCAGCTATGTGAAAGACTTCTGGCCTTGTCATGTTAAAGGGATAAACTTGTTCATAGAATTGGACATCCCTGAAAATGAAAATGGATTTATCAGCAATATCATATAGCATATAGCCCTTTACATTTGCTGGAAATCCAATAAACACACACTTCCTATCCCTTGATTACATTTTATTCCTTCCATGTGACATAGTGGCACCAAAGCATAAACATCCAAAA